GCCTGGTGGTGGCGTGGGTTGTTGGAGGGCTTCCCTGCAGGCACTCTAGTCCCCAGCCTCTCTTCGATGGTCTCATCCTTGGGTTTGAGGTCTCCCTGTTGGTTGCTTGGGATCAGGAGGCCCCCTCCTGGCCTTCCCTACTATTCTGCCAGGGCTCCTGATTTCCCATCCCAGGGCTCAGTCTCTCTGTCCTGTTCCTCCTGCCACCCTCTCAGCCCTCCTATCTGCCTTCCTCCCTTTGCTCCTCAGGGCTTTCAAAAACCTCAGACCAGGCCTACATCGAGTTTGAGAGCATCGAGGCCATTGTGAAGACAGCCAGCCGCACCAAATTCTTCATCGAGTTCTATTCCACCTGCCTGGAGGGTCAGAGCTGGGGCCCAGGGCTGGGTGTGGGCCACTGGGGATGGGAAGCCAGAGGTGCCCAGAGTGGTCAGCCCCCTAGTTAGGGGGAAGGGAAGTCAGGAGGTGGCACTCAGTTGGGTGTCCTCTACCCCCACCCAGAGTACAAGAAGAGCTTTGAGAATGATGCCCAGAGCAGTGACAACATCAACTTCCTCAAGGTGCAGTGGTCCTCTCGCCAGCTGCCCACGGTGAGGCCTGTGGGTGAGGGCACAGAGAGGGAGGTGTGGCAGAGCACTGGGGAACCTGCCTGGGAGAGCGGGCTTGTGAATGGGGTTGGGGACGTAGGGGAACTGGGCACGAGTGAGGACCAAGGCATTTGCTTTATTTAGGGGTGTGGGACCAAGTTGCAGTTGGTTCTTTTATTTGTTCATAAATATTTCTTGAGCCTTTGCTAAGTGCCAGGTTCTGTGTAGTCCATTGAGGGTGCCGAAAATTAATGAGTTATAATACTGTTAGGTGCCAAGAAGGGCATGTGCAGCGTTGTGTCTTCTATGTTAAAAATTGATCTTTCCTTGAGAGGGGAGTGCGAGTGAGCATGAACAAGCATGATGGTCGAGTGAGTGATACCAAGAGTAGGAGGGGTGGGTGGGGCCTTGTTCCTCACTGGGCCTCTGCTCCCCAGCTCAAGCCCATTCTGGCTGACATTGAGTACCTGCAAGACCAGCATCTTCTGCTCACAGTCAAGTCCATGGATGGCTACGAATCCTATGGTGAGGGATGAGGAGTGCCAAGGGGGACAGAAAGCTGAGCAGGGTCCTAGAAAGGCTTGGCAATCTGCTGGTCATTTGCCCTCCAGGGGAGTGCGTGGTGGCGCTCAAATCCATGATTGGCAGCACAGCCCAGCAGTTCCTGACCTTCTTGTCCCACCGAGGCGAGGAGACAGGCAACATCCGTGGCTCCATGAAGGTGCGGGTGCCCACAGAGCGCCTGGGCACCCGTGAGCGACTCTACGGTGGGGGCGCCATTGGGAGGGATGTGGGGCATGAGATGGGGTGGTGTGGGCAGGCCTGGGGGTGTTGGGGTGCTGGGAGGGCATGTTGGAATCCTGGGAATATTTGGAAGTTCTGCGGCAGGGCTGAGAATGGGTCTGCCCTGAGGAGTAGCTGGGAGGGGGCTAGCAGGCCCACTGGGTGTCTGGGATGCAGTACCCCAGGTCCCCTCTGAGTCTCCTTTCCCTTCCTGCCCCAGAGTGGATCAGTATTGATAAGGATGAGACAGGAGCAAAGAGCAAAGCCCCCTCTGTGTCCCGAAGCAGCCAGGAGCCCAGGTGAGCTGGGGCTGTGTTGGGTGTCACATGAAGGGGTGCTGGGGCTTTTGGTCAGCTCCTACTTGATCTCTCCTCCCTTGTGCATGCCTGACAGGTCAGGGAGCCGCAAGCCAGCTGCTGCAGAGGCCTCCTGCCCGCTGTCCAAGTTATTTGAAGAACCAGAGAAACCACCACCAACTGGGAGGCCCCCAGCCCCACCTCGAGCTGCTCCCCGGGAGGAGCCTTTGACCCCCAGGTGAGAGGGAAATTGTCATCCTCTGATTTATCCATTGCTGTGCATGGCTCTCAGGGCCAGCCTAGGGATCGTCTGCCGCTTGGGCACTCTGCTGCCATATGGCCAGAGGTGCCAGGGCCCTATGCCCATGGCCACTCTGGCCAGCCAGGCCCCCTGTAGGTGTGGCTCTCTGAGTCAAAGGGAACACACTCAGCCTTTCCTCTCAATTCTGCCTTAAAAAATAGGATTAGAAATTGTTTTTGCAACAGCTCCCTCCACGTAAACAGACTTAACTTGGGCCTTCTGTTTGGAGAAGGCCTGTGCCTCAGCACAGATTTCCCTGGGGGCGACCCATGAAACGGTGTCCTACAAGATGCCCCTCTGGAAACGGGTTTGTGGTCAAATGAGTTTGGGAAATGGTCCTTGCTAGATTCTTTTCTTAGATATTCCCAGTGCACAGTGATACCAGCAAAAGCTCTGATCATGTGGACAGGAAGGAAATCCTTTTTCAGCTCTGTTGAATATAGCTTCCCAAACTTAATGGGCCAGGAAACTTCCACATAATCACTGTTAATATCCTGGGGAACTACAGTTGACCCTTGAACGTGGCAGGGGTTTGGGGTGTATATCTTATAGTCAGCCCTCCATATCCCTGGTTCCTCCTTATCCGAGGTTCCACATCTATGGATTCAACCACGTGGCTCATAGATCTTATAATACTTACAGTGTTTACTATTGAAAAAAATTCAAGTGTAAATGGACTTGTGCAGTTCAAACCTGTGTTGTTCAAGGGTCAACTATACTGTTCTGTGGATCCTACTTTGGGAAAGTGAGGCTTGCTTTTTAATTATAGCCAATTGTCACTTGAACGCAAATAAAAACCCCTAGGTACAGTTTGGTTTTCAACCATCTTCAGCTGTTATTAGTCACCTTAGTTTTATCCCCAGGCTTGAGTAAAACTGACTTGAATCTATGAGTAAGATTCCCCAGTAGATTGGCCTCAGATGCCTCCAGGGGCTTTCCAAATTTGGCAGGTCATTCTCATTAAAGGCTCTTCTTACCCTGCCTTCTGGTACCTGTTTTCACCCATTTATTCTCAACTTTCACAGTTTACAAAGTCTTTCAGTGAGCGAGGCAAGGAAGTTTAGGGGTTATTCATCCAACTCCTCTGCATCCCCAGTTGGAGAGATGAGGACACCAAGGACCAGAGAGGGAAAGGGATGTGCTCAAGGTACATGCAGGTCTAGGATCAAGGGCCCTTACTCCTGTCCCAGTCCAATTCTCCCTCCACTGTACCCACTGCCTTCCCTTTGGTGTTTCTGGGTCCTGATTTAGTTATCCTGCTCCCAAACCCAGGTTGAAGCCAGAGGGGGCTCCAGAGCCGGAAGGGGTGGCAGCCCCCCCACCCAAGAACAGCTTCAATAACCCTGCCTACTACGTCCTTGAAGGGGTCCCACACCAGCTGCTGCCTCCGGAACCATCCTCGCCTGCCAGGGCCCCTGTCCCACCTGCTACCAAGAACAAAGTGGCCATCACAGTGCCTGCTCCACAGCTTGGGCGCCACCGGCCATCCCGTGTGGGAGAGGGGAGCTCATCTGATGAGGAGTCGGGGGGCACACTGCCCCCTCCAGACTTTCCACCCCCACCACTGCCGGATTCAGCCATCTTCCTGCCCCCCAGCCTGGATTCTTTGCCAGGGCCAGTGGTCCGGGGCCGCAGTGGAGGCGAGACCCGTGGCCCGCCACCTCCCAAGGCCCATCCAAGGCCCCCACTGCCCCCAGGCCCCTCACCCACCAGCACTTTCCTGGGGGAGGTAGCCAGTGGGGATGATCGCTCCTGCTCAGTGCTACAGATGGCCAAGACACTGAGTGAGGTGGACTATGCTCCCACTGGGCCTGGCCGCTCTGTGCTCCTGCCCAGCCCCCTGGAGCTGCAGCCACCCCGGGGACTGCCCTCCGACTATGGCCGGCCTCTCAGCTTCCCTCCACCTCGCATCCGAGAGAGCATCCAGGAGGACCTGGCAGAGGAGGTGTGTGGACCATGGGTTGCTGTCTGGGTGTGCTTACCCATGAACTGTGGTGTCCTTTTACTTCACGATTCAGTACTCAGTGGTGTCCCTTCTGCTGTGAGCTGGGCACAGGAGAGTTGGGGATCACATGAATCAGCCCAGCTCCTTGCCTCTCTCCTCACTCCAGAGCATGTGGTAGAATGTGGCTGCCTGCAGGTCCTTCTGTGTGTGTGGGTACCCATAATTCTCCCCCTGACATGCCCTCTTCCCTTAGGGTCCGTGCCCGCAGGGCGGGCGGGCCGGTGGGCTGGGCGAGGCAGGCATGGGCGCCTGGCTGCGGGCCATCGGCTTGGAGCGCTATGAGGAGGGCCTGGTGCACAATGGCTGGGACGACCTGGAGTTTCTCAGGTGGGGGCGGGGCTGGAGGGGGTGGGGGTGGATCTGGCCTCATGGGCGGAGCTATGGGCCCTCTGGACCGCCTCGCCCTTCTCCCAGCCTCTCTTACCCCTACAGCGACATCACCGAGGAAGATCTGGAGGAAGCTGGTGTGCAGGATCCGGCTCACAAGCGCCTCCTTCTGGACACCCTGCAGCTTAGCAAGTGATGGCGGTGGCACTGCGAAGCTGGGAACTCCACTCCCCAACCCCACCTTAAAAGCCCAGCCAGAGCTCCAGAGTTGAAAAGTTACGAGGGGAGGGCAGTACCTCTCTGCCTATTTATTGGGGATCTGCGTTCCCTACTGCCCAATCATTTGGAATGCCCTAATTGGGACATCCTGCCTCTCACCTGTTACAGCTGGGGCTCCCGGAGGTCAGTTGCCATGGTTACCGAGGACCTTGGTTATTCCGGTGCTTTCTTCCCTTTCGGACCTTATCCAGCCCCGGGTGGGGCGTGGGGTCCATATGGGTCCGTCTGGGACCCTACTTTCACCGCTGTTCCTGCTGCCTTCCACACAGCCTGAACCACAGTGAGAGGGGCTCTTCTAGGACCTCTCCCAATCCCCATTCTGGGGGTGTCCATCCGTAAATGAAGGAAGCCCAAGGTCAGGGCTGGGATTTATTTAAGCTTTTCTGTGTGGGTTTAGGGAGGGCAGGCACTTTAACATTATTGGGCCGGTTGGGGTCGGGGGAAGGATCTCGGCAGTATAGATCCAGTTTGCTTAGTTCTGTCTCCTGGTCTGTACCATCCTGCACTGTGGCTGTGTGGCAGCCATGGGTTCCTCGCTGGTCGCAAGTGGAACCAGGCTCTTGCAGGCAGCCTATCCCCATCCTGGGTACTCAGAGGGTTGCTGGCGTGATGTCTTCAATAAATTAAGTTTTATTTGGATTGAGCAAAACTCACCTCAATAAATTACAAGATTTTCAAAAGCAAAGAACAACAAAAAATCAGGAAAGAGGGAAAATCTGTCCCGTTCCTCTGACAGACCCTCCCTCGTCTAACGGGCCTACCCTTTGGGCCTACCCTTTGGCTGGGGATGCGAGGGGACGAGGTTCAAGTTGGCAGCGGGACTCTTCAGGCCGCTCATTATCCCAATGACGGCCAGCCTTTGCAGGGGCGGCGTCAGGGCCGGTGGGCCCGAGGGGTGGGGCCCAAGTGGGCTGGTCACCAAGGTGAGGAGTGACTCAACCAGCTGCAGAGCTGGGGAGGAAGCCGGGCTGTTTCTCCTTGAGGCTCCTCACGTTTGCCCACTGTGGTAGGGACAGGTGTTATTTGATCCCGGTTCCAAAGAAAGCCAAGCTAGAAGGTGCTCGGGCTCTCCTGGAGGGCGTCCCAGTGAAAAGTAAAAGTACCCCGCTCTGCTGTGTGGGAGTGGGTGAGGACGAGAGTGACCCTGCCTTGGTCTCTAAAGGTGGGGAGGGCACATGTAGGGGTCAGACTCGGTGGGGAAACTGGACAGAGGGAGACATCAGGCAGGCGGCCGGGATGGGGAGGGTCTGTCAGGTCCTGGAGGGGCAGGGGCGTCTCTGGCCACAGGCCTGGAGCCTCCAGAGGCCGGCGGCTAGAAGAGATTGGTCTTCAGGGTGGGGCCAGGCTTCCGGTGAAAGGAGGACAGAACCCCTGAGAAGGGACCGGGCCCGGGTTCCGCTGGCTGCCAGGCCTTAAGCAGCTCCGCAGCGCCCGCGCCCGGCCCGCCGCCCCCACCGCCCGCCACGCCAGCCCACAACGGGCCCTTGAGCGGCTGTGGCCCTGGCCCGGGTCCAGGCCCAGAGCCCAGAGCGGCGGGCAGCGGGCTGGGGCTCAGGCGCGGGCTGGCCAGGCCGGGCGCGGGCGGTGGCGGCAGCGACGCGGTGCTGTCGGGTGTGGGGCTGCACGTGGACTCTTTGGAATCGTCATCCTCGGACGAGCAGCGCGCCTCACCCTTTTTGGCGCCCGCCGCGCCCGCCGCACCCTTAGCGCTGGCCGCGCGCTCCTGTTTTCGGAACTTGGCCCGGCGGTTCTGGAACCAGACCTGCGGGCACATCGGCCGGTCAGTCCCGGGTCGAAAAGCCGCGGGTGAGACCTCCATCCGGAAGGGACGGTTGAAGGGATCTGGATTATTACCAGCCTTCGGAGCTTTGGCCCCTCGCCATCCACCACTCTGCTCGTTGCCCTTGTCTCTCCGCCTCCATCCTCTCCTCCACTTGCCCCATTCTCCAGGTCCTTAGGGCCTTCCCCTTGGGATCTGTTCACCCGCGGACCCTGCTGCCTCCTAGTGTTCTCGGTCTCCTGGAGGGGACTCCGCCTTCGCCCACCTTATCACCCAAAGCTCTCTCCCCAATTCGCTCCTACAAGAGGTTCTGGGAGTACCCTCTGGAGTGTCCCGTGGCGGTGAAGAGCCAGTTAGGGCACTCGGTAAACCTTTTGTTCAAGGTCTCCAGTAAAGGCGCGCCAGCTGAACATCTATACTCAGATTCGTAAGATAGACAAAAGTCCACCCTGGCCCAGCTCCTGCGCCTGCCCTGAGCCTGGGCTTTCCAGGCTCAGAGGTGTCACAACTGCAGAGCTGGGGAGGAGACCCGGAGGCACTGATTGGCCTCGTTTGGCCCTGAGGACACCTGGAGCGGACCCTCTACCCACTCGGTCTCCGTCCGGGCTTCCCAAGCATCACTGAGTGCTCAGCCCTATGCAGAAGACTGAGGGGAAATCGTGAGGGTGAACAGCTAAGCTCTTTTGAGAGCCTTAGGTCTGCCAAGTCCTGTTTCCACAGCCTCCCCGGGTTACATGTTCTCTCCTGCCCAACCACCCCAGGACTGCCCTCTGGCCCCTGGCTCTACCTCTGCCTCCAGGCTGCACCTCCCCATCACCCGAGTGAGGCCCTTCTGCCCTGCGGACCTCTAGGTGTAGGGCACTAACTTCCCGCCCCTGCTCCGCGCGCACACATTCCCGCAAACACGCACCTGCACGCGAGCCTCAGTGAGGTCGATCTTGAGCGCCAGCTCTTCGCGCGTGTAAATGTCGGGGTAGTGGGTCTCGGCAAAGACGCGCTCCAGCTCCTTCAGCTGCGCGCTGGTGAACGTGGTGCGGATGCGCCGCTGCTTGCGCTTCTCGTGCAGGCCCGATGGCTCCGGGAAGAACTTGTAGGGCACTACGGGTGCGTGCGGGAGGGCGGGGGAATCAACGAAGGTGGGGGCGTGAGGAACCGAGCCTAGACTGCTGCGTTCTGCTCCTGAGGGATCGCTCACGGCCCCCCGCCCCTGCCCTGGCCCCTGGATTTGGACCTCTCAGTCCTGGATGGAGCGTCTTCCCTATCGCTGAAGTGGGCAGGGGTGAAGGCAGACAGGGCGCAGGAAGGCCTGGAGCCCAAGGGCCGCAGCGAGGGAACCAGAATGTGATCCTCGCGGCAAGACAGCTGACCTGTGGTTGGCCCTCCAATGTGTTCCCTCCACCTCCGACCAGTCTATCCGCCCTTATGACCCTCCCCTTGGTGTGTCTCTCCCTCAGTCAGTCTGCCTGCTTGACTTAAGGTCCTGCTCTGTCCATCCTAACGTTGGCTGTCTGTCAGGTTTCATCAGCATCCTGGCTCTACCCAGTAACCAGCCCTGGACTTCAGCTAGACTCACGACTCACCTGCCTGGGTCAGCTTTCAGCCCTGCCACAGACTGCCGTGTAAAAATTTGGCCCGCTCTACCCCGCACCCGACTCCTTCCCAAGCCTCATTTCCTCAGCCCCATCTCACATCCCATCCTCCTCCAGATGTCCCCCCCTCCCCTTCCTCACCTCTCTCCAACTGCATCTATCTGCAGCTTTCCCCCTCTGGACCATTCGTCTCTTTGTGCCCATTGAGAAGGGTTCTTATTTCTCCCCTCCCAGGTTTCTACATCGTGTCTTTGCCCTTCTTCCTGCCAGTCACCTCTCTCTCCGTCCCAACTCCTTCAAAGCCAGTCGCACTCTTCCCCTTCCCTGTCTTTCCATCCCTGACTCCCATCTACAGTCCCTACTGCCCCACAGACAGTGTTTCTGTCACCATCTCCCCATGGGAGGGCTTCTAGCCCCTGTTTAGGTCTCCATATTCTCCAAGCATCCCTGATATCCTTCATCTTTTTCATATCTCACTAGTTCTCTATCTTCCCTAATCCTTGTCTCTAATACCCCCATTCCTAGCCCTATCTTTCTTATCTCTGTTTTCAATCTTTCATGGTCCCCATCTCCCATAATTCATCTCCCCACCACCTGGTTTTATCTCCATCTCCCCAACCCTGGGATCCCATTTCTCCTAGGGTCCCCCATCTTCCCATCTCTGCTCACATCCCTCCGTATCTGTTCCCATCTCAGAACTCCATCTCTCTGGGGCCCATCTCCCCATTTCCTGTTTCTACCTCTGCAGTCCTCATCTGCATATGCCCAGAGTACCCATCCTTCCCATCCCTATTCCAGTTTCTGACTCCATCTCTCTGGTTCTCATTTCTGCAAATCAAGGTCTCTCTCACCATCTCTCCCCACCCACGAGACCCCAATCTTCTACTTGGGCCCAAGGGAGTCTCCCCAGGAAGGAAGGAGATAAGGAGTTTGGGTAGGGCAGCCTAGACTCTAATTGGAGAGATGGGGATGGCTAAAAGTCTCCATGAGGTTGAAATTTCAGATGGGGACTTGGATCAAGGGGTTTGGGCATCGTATGGGGTTGCTTCTGGGTTTTGCAGTACTCCATCTGTGAGAGTCTCCAGGGGGAATGAGGAAATGAAACTGGCTTAATGACCTGAGTACCGTTTTCTTCTGGCCATGGAATGGGTTTCAGTAGTGCAAGAGGGTTTGGGCACAGGCAAGATGGGTCCAAAACCAGGCAGTGGAGGCCTGATGGTGCTGGGGCTCTAGGAAGGTTCCCAGATGGGCAGCTCATCTGCAGCAGGGATCCTCCTGGGGGTCGGGCGTGAAGTGGGGGCGATAAGGATGGGGAGTGGGAGTCTGACTGGACTGAGCTGGAAGCATCTTCCAAGGAAACAGGGAATGGAGAGGTTGAGTGGTCAGTCTTTGCAGGTGGGCAAGGGAGGGCCTGGTGAGGAGCCTATGACTGGACTAGGGATCTATTTCCTTGACCCAAAGAGCACGGGATAGGGATATGACAGTGAGAAAGAGGAATGGGAACGAAGAGAGGGTGGAGCTCAACTCTGCCTAGGGAATTCCGTCTTACGGAGGGGCTGTGGGTCCCGCGGGGAGATGGAGGGTCTGGCTAGGGAAGGGATGGTGGCGGCCGTGGAGAACAGTCGCAATCACTTGCCGAGTGGGACAAGGGCTGGGGGTGCTTTAGGATTTGGAGGAAGGGTTGGGCTGGGGATGGGCTCACCTGCCGAGTAGGGCGCGGGCTGGTGGTCGCGTAGAGCGCCAAGCGCGCAGTTGGAGGAGCCGAGCGCGGGGCAGGGAGGCCCGGCCGCGGGGAAGGCGGGCCGCAGGGGGCTGTATTGGAAGCCGCCGGGCTGGCTGCAGGCGCCGAAGTCGCCGTAGGCGGACGCCTCCATGGCCGCCACGCACGAATCGTACGAATTGAGGTAGGAGTAGTCCATCGGCCCGGGGGGCGGGGGCGGGGGCCTGGTCGGGCCGGGTGGGAGTCGGGTTCCCGGGCCGGGTAGGGGTCAAAATGGGGGTTGGAGCGCCAGGAGCCAAGGACCTGAAGCCGGCTCTCGGCGCCAGCGAGTCCGCCCGCCCCGTCGCGGCCGTACTCCGCCCGGGTGCAACGCAAGTGCAGCCCAGCCCGGCCCGCGCGCCTTTTAACGCGCAGGACCCCGCAGAGGGGCGGGGCGGGGCGAGCTCTTCGGGGGCGGGGCCTGGGCGGCCCAGGCCCCGCCCCCAGCCGCCCCCGACCCCTACTCCAAACGGATGCCACAGTCTCTTACGGCTCCCGAGGTGCAGGGCGGGCTGCGCGGGGCCCCATCCTCTACAGTCCCCATCCTGCCCCAATCCGGACCAGACCTTCAATCTCCGCGCTTCTTGCCAGTCTAGAGGGTCCCGACCCCTTTCCCTGGCCTCCCCACCTGCGGCCCCGCAGAAGGGAGGGAAGACAGGCCTGGCGGCTCTCCTGTGAAGAAGTTAATTCAATTCGTCCTGATAACCGAGTTATTCCGATCCAGCCCCTCTGCCCCGCCCCCAGCGAAGTCCCATCCCGGCGGGGACCACGGAGGCGGCCCAGTAATGGGGATGAAGACAAGGATGAGAAAGAGACGGAGCCTGGGATGAAGACGTGGATGAAGAGAGGAGACAGAGACGGAGACAGGAAGAGGGACAGAAAAGTGATGGAGAAATATGGAGAAAGGGGCAAGAGAGATACAGGTACACAGATGGAGACATGGATGAGAGAGATAGATTAGAGACCGGGGCAAGAGGGACACAGGAACAGAAATGGTGACAAAGGTGAAACATGTACAAGAGGAAGGCGGGGATGGAGATGGCATAGACAAAGGAAAGATAAGAGAGAGAGAGAGAGGAGGAGACAGGGAAAGATAAGAGAGAGAGAGAGAGAGGGAGACAGAGAAAGTGTGTGAGGCAGGCATGGAGACAGAGAAATCACAGGAATGAGACACGACTGAAAAAAGAATTGCAATGAGATCAAGAGAGATGAGACAAAACAAGACAGTGATAGTGAGACAGACACACGCGGAGGATCAGTCTCAGAGAGACAAGGCCAGGGACAGACACAGTGGAGGAACAGAGGCTGAGGGGTGGAGAGAAAGAGCCTTTGGAGAGCTAAGACCCACGAACTGGAGTGCCCAGCAGGCAGAAGGACTGTAATGGAGGTGCTGCATGAAGCTGCAGAGGGGGAGGGTCACCTAAGCCGATGTCCCTCTATCCTGACTTGTCCTGAAGGTCACACGACCCTGCCCTGCACCTTCAGAGCCCAGCCTACCTGTCCTCTCTCCCAGGTCCCCCAGCTCAGTCTCTCTCCCCACTGCCACTATGTGTGACCCTCTGGTTCTCAGCACTCTCCGTACAGATCATGTGTGAAGAATGTCAGGACCAGGGAGTACCCAAGTGACCTCTTCACTCTTTCTCAGCCTCCACCCCTCTCCTCCAGAGGCCTTTTTCTTCTTCAGGAAAACCACCTAGAGTCAGTCTGGGCCTGGCCACTGATGAGTTCTGCATCATGGGACCACAGGACAGGACATAGGATCCTTTCCAGGAGAATAGAACAGAGAACTCTTCTGCCTCTGCAGCTCACCTGAGGTGGATTGAACAGCTTCCCTACCCAGCCCCCAGGCTCCTTGACCCAATCTTGGTAGGTCCCCACCTTGTTACTAGCCAAAGTCCCTGGGGGATGAGAGAAGGGCTCCCCCCCACCTCCCAAGTTTACCAGCATACTGGGGAGCATGCCCAACCTGGCCGTTCATTCTTTGCTTAACACAAGGACCACTTGTCCCCCATTTCTGTAACTACTCCTTACCAGGGTGTTTCTCTGAGATATTTTCTCTAATTACTTTTAAATTCTAAATTGACAGCTAAACTGATTTAAAACATTCTCTCGACCAGTGTGGGAGGTACACCTCTCTGCCTTGACACTTCCTATACTGGAAGTCCAAGGGATCTCAGAACTGGGAAATCAGATGGTGCCACTGCTCTCCTTCTTAGACCTCCCATGGCTCTCCATTGCCCTCACAATAAAATTCAAGCCCTCACTTTGGCCCACAATGTCCTCCATGCCAGTGCTCCAGCCTGCCTCCCCCTTCACCATGACTATCTTTGCAGCCCTGACCCATTGCTCTATTAGTCCAGAGCTGTTCTCTCTGGCTGGAACATTCATTCCAGTCTCTACCCACCACCCCTAAAAACAATCCCAAACCTAGTTGACATTTATCCACCAGGTTTCAACTTGGACATCACTGCTTCCTGGAAGCCTTCCCTGATACCCCTAGACTAGGTTGTGGGGAACCTCCTCCCCTTTTGGTTACTCATGTCACCTTGTTGAAGTATTTGCAATAACGTGCAAGGTCTCAAGGCAGAAATATGTCCTCTCATTGATAACTTTCTCCCCAGCACTACCACGGTGGCTAGCACATCACTGCACATCATAGATCTTCCCATACCTGTTTGTTGAATGAATAATGAAGGCTAAGCTGAAATCTTTGTGTTGGGGAATCCTGCCCTTGTTTCCAGGGAAGGAGGCACCATCCCCTGACTCCCACTCCCCACTCTCTGAAAAGAGATCGTCCTCTCTTCTTCATTCCCTCACTCCTCAGTAACAGGAAACTTCCTCCCTCTGGGCCAACCTTCTGCCTGCAAGAAAATCCTTCCTCATCTGAGGAGTTTTTAGGCAGCCATATCTCTTCCACAGGGACAAAGCTGAAGCAAAGGAGCCATAGAGGCTTATGCACAGGGACCAGCAGAGATACGCAGCCTGGCTCCACTTGTCTCCGTTTCTATGATCTAGCCCTGTCATTTCTTCTCTTTTGGTCACTGAACCAATAAATACCTCTTTTGGTCTTACCTACTTTAAGTTGGGCTTCTGACAGTTGCCACCAAGAGTTCTGACCAATATAATCTGTAAATACTTGACACCTTTACAGGTAATCAAACAAATGGTTTGGTGATTGGAAGTTTTATGGTAACATGTAAGTTGCAGGGTCAGCTGGGCAGGAGCTGAACTTCCCCTGACTCAGGACTGTCCTCAGGAGTTGGAGGTTCCTCTCTCTGCAGGGAGCCATTTGCCTCTGCTGACTGGCACTAAAACTGAGATGAAGCCCAAGAAAATCGTTTGAATTCTGTTCACTGTTGAGTTCAGGTGTTGCAGATGATGGACGTGGGGGTAATTTGGAGGCTAGGCTGCACGTATGGTGTGTGAGTGTGTGTGTGTGTGTGTGTATTTGTGTGTGATATGGGGACAGGTAAGAGGGCTTCCTGAGAACTCATCATTAAAGGAGACAGGCAGAGTGGACTGGATTCTGCAAGAGCCTCACACCAGAGAGGCTAGTGGTTGAGATCTGATGTGGGAGCTCATTCTGTTGGAGATCCTCCTGCCCGAAATGCATGCTCTCCTGGGGAACTAAAAATGCTCTGGCATGAAACACTGTCTCAGCAAGTCTGCTGTGAAGCCTCCTTGCTGAGCAAATTGCCTTTTCTTCTACAACTGATGACAGATTCTGGAGCCTGACTGCTGGGTTCCAGCTCTGGTGCTGCCACTTCCAAGCTGGATGACTTAGGGTAAGTTATTCAACCTCTCTGGGCCTCAGGTTTCTCACCAGGAACCTGGTTTAATTATTAGGTGTTTGAATAGTGTGTGGCACATAGAAAACATTAAATAAATTAGCTACCACCACCACCACCCGTTCTCTCTTACCAAGTGACTGAGCTCTGTGACTGATAGACCCAGACCACATTCTGGCCGGGCTCATCTGGTGTGTTCCACCTGGTACCTGTATCTTTGCACTGTAGCATCACCTCTACCCTCAAGATTTCAGAAGATATCATGGACCCCTATCTTTGCACTGTAGAATCACCTCTACCCTCAAGATTTCAGAAGATATCAGAGCCTTGAAGAGTTACCCAGCCTGACCCCTTAACTTTTGCAGATGAAGAAAGTGATGCCTCTGGAGGGGAGGGGTCCTGTAGGAAGGGTAAAAGTGAAAACAGTGGGAGTGTGTCATGGTGAGGGGATCCCTCCACAGAGGGAGCAGCAGGCCAAAAGCAATCTGGGGAGTGGGTACAGTGGGGACTGTCTTTTTCTTCTGCTCTGATCCCAACTCTGTGAGCGTGGACAGTGGAAGTACCATGAGAACAGATGAGAAAGGACCCATGCCCTGGAGAATTCTTTCTGCCTGTGGTCACTTGGAGGATGGCAGCCTGTACTATTTCTATGATCAGTCATAGATCTTAGCCTCCCCTTAGAACTCTAAGCAAGGATATCCAGGGCTCAGAGTGTGGGCACCATCTGATTTATTAATCCAGTGCACTCCTGTTAGTCCTTCTCTCCTATGAGACAGCACGGAGCGGTGGCCTGTCCCTACCTTTGAAATGCACCTTCTCCCCCTCTAAAGCAGTGTTCTCAGTGTTACCATTGTTCAACTGTGATTGGAAGCCAACTTTGATCCGACATTCATGTCTATTTTCTAATAAAGGATGGAGCTTATCAGTGAAAAGTTAACAAATTTCTGGTCCTGCTTAAGGGCCTTATAACTCCTTTCACCCTCATCTATCTACCAACTCCATCAGCAACCTTCTTCTAAATCCCTATTCTCTCCTGCTATTCCTGATCCAGGGAAGGTTACTGTATATTCCCAATCTATCAGAACCTGTAGTCTCTTGTTCATCTCTCTGTTGTAGAGACAAATTTTGTTAACGATTTTCTTCTTTCCACTAGTACCTTAGGCTACCCAGTCTTCCACTAATTTCCATTTTTGTTTGTGTGTTTTTTTAAAGCTCCTAGCATTAGGCCTTTCCAGGGTCCAAAATGTTCAACCCTCAGATGTCCCTGAAGAATGAGAAAAGATCTTAACCCAGTTCTAAACGTTTTTCAAGTGTCTGATCTATGATGGAACTTCATGGGGCACTAGACACACGGGGATAAATTAATCTTGGAATACTGTCTTTAAGGATCTCCTGATCTGGTGGGCACGTAGGCACTTATTTATTAGGAGGTTCTTAGAACATTTTAGTCGTCTGGGCAAGGGAATGGCATATAAAAGGTGAGGCAAGTTGATTCTTTTTTTTAAAAAATGGGGGGGGGGCGTGGATAAAGGTTTTGATCCCACCAACCATGCCATACATTGACAAGCTTATTCAAGCTTTTGTGCATGGGAAGGGACCTGCCCAAGGCTGCTGTAATAGACATCTGTGGTGTGGTCAGCCCAGCACAATTCTTCCCTTGGAAACCATCTCCTCTATCCACATGGCTACCTAGGGAACCACTGTTCTTACATAATCCTACCCTCAGCCATAACAGGTCCAGGTGTGGAAGACACACCTGTCTTCCTGCTGTTTGAAGACAGGTCAATAAAACCCTTTCTCATCATTTTTTCTTATTTGAA